GATCTTTTTTCTCGACATTATTATACTTTTCATTTTTTTTCAAAAAACTGTCGTATCTCTCCTCAATGTCTTTTGAGTATTAGTGCAGCATTTTTCTTCGTCGATATTCTCCAGCACGAAATCGGAATGTCTTAGCATTCACATAAGTGGGAGTGTCCTGCGTCTTGCTAATTCTTTTTGTTGTTTGATCAATTTTTACATGCGGATCGCCATCACGCACTGCTCCACCAAACATTGCCTTCAAACTTGGATCAAGACCCACAAATCGATCATAATTATTTTTTTTTCTTCCTTTTATTTGACGAGGATTTAATCTTCTCTGCTTTCTTCAAATTATATATGAGAGACACTTTTACGCCATCCGTCTGCATAGCCCGAGGTACACTCCATTCTCGCTTCTTCTTATTTTTCGTCACTTTTTTTAAATCGAAAATTCCTTGCCACAATATTTTTAACTTGTCAAATTTTTTCTCTACAGCATTCTTTCCCTTTTTTGCATTTTCTCTTTTTGTAGTAGTGTTTTTTATTTTATTCTTTTAGTCTTGTTCATTCAACTTTCGCTTTATCTCACTTACTTCAACCACCTTTTTTTTGATAAAGTGTTCAAGTAAGGAAGAAAATCTTTCTCCAAAATTGTTTGAGTTAATGTAACGTGTTGCAAACCGAAACGTCTCATAGGAAACAAAACAAACCCCTTCAATCCATTGTCAACAAATTCTCTTTGAATTCTTATATATAATGGTAAAAATTTGCAACATTTGTACTCATTGTCTAAATCTAAAAAGTCTAAAAGTTGAACCTCTTCTTTCTCCTTCTTCATTTTTTGTTTCTTTCCTTTTCCTTTTCATTTTTTTCTTTTTCGTCCATCTTTTTTTCCAACCGAATATCAATTTCTTCCGTTTCTCTCTTTATTTCTTCTAAATAACTGCATAACTTTTCATCTTCGCAGTGATTATACAAAAGTAAATAATCCAGTGCTTTTTCTACTTTTTTCTCTTTTTCCTTTATTTCCTCTTTTGTCAAAGATTGTTTAATTCCGTTCTTTTTGAATGTAATTTTTACTACCTTCCTTTTGTTTTCCTTTCGTTCCTTTATTTTTTTTTGGGTTTCCTTTACTTCTTCTGCAGTTACTTCTCTTCTTTCTTCCTTCAATTTCTTGTTCTCTTTCTTTCTTTTCTCGACCTTCCTTTCAAAATTTTCAAGTCTTCTTTTATTCTTCTTTGCTCTTTTTTCTTTTTCCTTGATGTCCTCCTATGTTTTTTCATTCTTTACACTTGTATCCTGTTTATCAACTTCCTCTTTTGTTTGAACTCCAAACTCTTTAAATTTAAGATATTTTTTAAATATTTTTGGTCCTTCCATGTGTAAATGAACGCGAAAATCCTTGTCCATTTCCCGTGCTGCTTGCAAAAGAAGATTTGTTTGTTATTGACAATTAAGGCTCGTCAATTTTTCAATTCGGAATTTGTTGTATTGTTTGAGTTGTTCTTCCTTATTTTCATAAACTTGGTTCTCTTTTTCACTGTTCTTAATAAATTCGTTAAATAACACAGGATCAATTTCACTTTCTTCATCTGCCATTGCAAGTTTGAATTCCTCCAATAATGTGTACAATTCAGGATCCTTTTTCTTGCATGTAATATAATCTTCTACTTTTCTTTTCTTGAAGCAATTCATGACTCTGTAATGATTGAAGCCGCAAATTGCGAACTCTTTTGCTAGTTGACACTCTGGTTTATTCATTATAAAGTTTATGAATATTGCAGTCAAAATTTTTATTCGACTGGCATTTTCTACATCGTGTTCAATTTTATTTTTTATGTAATTCTCATCATCATTGCGTAAAATTGAGTTGAGGGACATGTATGTTGTGTAGGAGTCATGGTTTTTTTCTTGCTTGGTGTCAATCTGAAAAATATTTTCAATACATAAAATAAATAAATTGTTTTTATAAAATGTTAAAAAAAAATTTTTGCAATTTTTGTATAATAGAAATTTGTTTTGGATCATATTACTCAGAAATCATAAATAAATACATAGGCGAATTTTTTTAACTATCAATAAGTTAGAAATGATTATAATGTCAATAAATGGAAATAAGTAAATAATAAAAAAATAAGTAATATGTTTTTAGAATAAGTTTGCAATGAAGAGTGCAATGATAATATCTGACAATTATAAATTTTTACCTGTGGTTTCTTCAACCCGCGAATTAACTTCCTGGGTGGTGATTGTGGAGGTGGCACATTAGTAGAAGTACTCGGCAAAGATTGTTCTCCTTCCTGTCGGATAAGCCAATAGTACAATTTAGTAAGAAACTCATTTTTTATCAAATTAAAATTAGAAATTTTTACATGTTGTTTTTTCATCCTGCGAGATGGTGGTTGAGGAAACGGCACATCAGTAGAAGTACTCGGCAAAGATTGTTCTCCTTTCTGTCGGATAAGCCAATAGTACAATTTAGTAAGAAACTCATTTTTTATGAAGTTAAAATTAGAAATTCTTACATGTGGTCTTTTCAACCCGCGAGGTGGTGATTGTGGAAACGGAAAATCAGTAGAAGTACTCAGTAAAGATTGTTGTTCTCTTTTCTGTATATATATATACTATTATTTATAAATTTTTAAGAAGTAACATATTTTAAAAATAAAAAATCTCTTACTCTCTTTATCTCCACCCAATGATTATGCTTGTGATCTTCATAGTCCTGGGCCACATAAATTTTTTTTGGCATATTTTACATTCAAAATTCTCTTGCCCTTTGTGAACCTTTTTATGAGATTGTAAATCCTTTTTTGTATGAAACCACAGTTGACAAGAATGTATTGGGCAGTGATGCTTATGTTTCTGATCTTCGTTATATCTATTCATGGCGAGGAAGGAAGCAAGTTTGATTTTTCAACCTAAAAATTTATAAGCAATTTACTTTGTGAAATGTAAATATATAATAGCATATTTAAACAAATTAACTTGTTTGTTTGTCCTAGTTACATTTGCTAAATTTATAATTAGAAAGTAAAAAAGTAAAACAAAATAAATAAAAAAAAAAATTTTTTAAAAAATAAAAAAAAATAAAAAATAAAATCGGATTGTTTTGAGTTTTTAAAAAAAATTATGATATTTTTTCCTGATTATATTATATTCAATTTCTTATATTTCATAAAACAAATTAAACTTAGAATATAGATTATATTTAAATTTTCATAAGTTGCATTTTTATAAAATGTTATAAATACTTTGATAGATTTTATATCTAAATAAATATAATATAATATTTAATAATAGAATATAACATTTATTATTAATTTATTATCTATCATTTCCTAAAATGAAATAATTAATATTTAATATACTTAACAATTTTTACCATGTATCTAGGCAAGTAAATACTTTATATTTATTATTTTTTTAAATTAGCGGGATAAATAGCCTAAAATCCTTACTTATCCCGCTAGCGGGCTAAATAACCTGCCGTGATTACTTGTATCCCGCTAGCGGGATAAATAAGTTACTGTCACTATTCATCCCGCTAGCGGGCTAAATAGACACAGCGTTCTACGAATTTACGTTAATCACTGAAAATTTTTTTCCAGTTCTTCTTTCAGTTTCAGTTTTGATTTTTTAATGAAAACAAAAATAAATTTCTGGAATTTAAATTTTGAAAAAAAAATTTTTTAATTATTTGGTATTCTTACACATTTATTTTGAGTGTTGAATAATTTAATTTTATATCTGTGTTATTTTAATAAAAACATTTTCTGTACCCGGAGAGAAAATTTATTACATATATTAACACATATCATATGTGACTGTCCACGAGAAAACAGGGCTTAGGTCCAAAAAATAAATTTTGAGTTTTTTATGGTAATCGACAGATTTTATGTTGCTTTTTCAAATGCAAAAGTCAAAAGTTAAAAATATCAACTACTTTCGACAATATATCGTTTTAAAGATGGGTATGTGAAGCGTAGTTAACTTCAATCGTAGTACATACTTCAATCGCTCGCCCTGTGAAATTCACGTTTGGGAGCTAAGCCCTGTTTTCTCGTGGACAGTCACATATATATTTTGTAAAAGTTTTTACAGTTTAGGGAAAAAGTGCACCAAAACGAAATTTTGGTATCAAAAATACTAAACAGTGAAAGAAATAATTTGAAATTTAGTAAAGTTAGATTAAAATTCTTGATATTTGATATTATTATACTAAATTTCATATTATTCCTTTCACTGTTTAGTATTTTTGATACCAAAATTTCGCCTTGTCGCATTTTTTCCCTAAATTGAGAAGCACTTTTACAAAATTTAATATAATTTTCTTTCCGTGTATTTATAATATTAATTTATTCATTATTATTTTTAATATCAATTTTTGTTCCAATAAAAAAAATTCAACTTGATAATTATTTTATTTTAATGAAAATATTATTTGGATTCAATAATAATGTTTAAATAATTAATTTAAAATTAATCATCAAATTCTGGCGTGGAATTCTATCATAAAATTTGAAAATAATTGAATTCTTTCGAAGAATATTATCAAAATTTTTAAAAATAATTTAACTCTTTCAAGAAATTTCATTAACATTGTGCAAAAAATAATTAAATTTCCGAAAAGAATTTTTAATTTTAAGCAAAGAATTGCATTTTTTCGGAGAATTTATATGAATTATTTGCAAATAGTGTGATTTTTTGTGAAATTTTATATTGAAAATAGTTGAATTCAATAAGAGAATTTTTTAAATTTTGAATCTGAAATTATTCAAAAATTGAAGTTGATATTTGAAAATAAAAAATTTTGTAATTTGCACAATAATAAATTATTAAGAATATTAAAATTAAAAAAGTGGTTAATAAAAATATTTTTCTGCAAATAGATGTAATATAAGCAAAAAATAATGTTGTCTTTGCAATGTTAATAAAAATATTAGTAAAAATATTATTGGAATAATGACAATAATGGAAGTAAATAATTTAATTTAATAATAATTAAATTTTTTCAGAATTGTATCAGAGCCCGCGACTCCAGTTGCAACGTCAATCGCCTATCCCGAAAGTCCTCTTTCGCCTACTGCATCTTACTTTACGACCTCGGAAGGAAAGGGAACATTCTTGACGAGGTATTCACAAGAAGTTGTTGAGGAAACTTTACCTACCAAGGATGAAACGACGACTGTTATCATGAATAGTGTCGACCTCAGGCAAAAGAAGGTACATACATTGTCAAAATTTCAAATAAATATGGAAAAAACGTTTTTTTCTCGTACATATTTTATTTCTTTTTAAATGCATGACAAGTGGTAATGAAAGATTTCAAACTTTTTTTTCGACGTTATTCGAAGGCCGAGAATATAACGAACTTTTTCTTCTTCATCATTATCATTTTCTTGGTTAAAAAAGAAGAAGTAGAAGAAGAAGGAAGGAAGATACTTGAAAGCACTACCGACATTTTAAGTTCATAATGAAGGTGATGATTTTCTGAAAATATCGAGTTAAAAAGTACAAAAGAACCTTTCGACTCGGTCATTTCTTCTCATCAGCACCTTCTCTGAATCGTTTTTAAAATATTGTTAAGAAAACTGAACTGGTGATAATTACAATCAAACTCGGGTATAATTTCCGGATCTTTTTTTTTCTTTCTTTCTTTGCCCCTTTTTTCTCAAATCCCGGGAGAAAAGTACGAGCGAAAGGGAAAAACTTTTAGTTATTGCAATTTTTCGGCACTTTTGAAAAACAATAATATTGTGTTTCTAAAATAATGAGGTGAAAAATAATAAATGAAACAATAGTATAAAATAGAGCAACAATAAAAAAAATAAATAAATAAAGAATAATAATAAAATAGGGGAAAATAGAAAAGTACAATAAAAAGAGAAATAGATTTAGCATAAGTAAAGTTAAGATAAAGTGAAAATGGAAACAGACTTAGAATAAGATGAAGTAAAAATAGAAAAATTAAAAAAATGGCTTCGTTTGCAGGAGGAGTTGATGATCAGACTGGATAAGAAACTGGTGGTGCTGAGAGCTGAAGAGGAGGCTGTCAGGGAAGAGGGCGAATTGAACGAGGCATTGGGTGCCCGTGTCGCTAAGCAAGTTGCGTCCGTGGCGCGTCCTGCGGAATTATCAAAGTATCGACTTCACGTCGAGGAAGTCGGGAAAATTACCAGTCTTCTCCTTGGACTCAGTGGCCGCCTCGCTCGAGCTGAGAACACTCTTCATGGAATGCCAGCCGACCATGCCGAGAGAGTTAGTATAATATATTCAATTTTTATCATTTTCAATTCTACAATCACAAAACGAATCCACATTTTCAATTATAACTTTCCTCCTCTTGTGATTGACTTCTAGAAATAGTTCTTCATTTATATGGAAAACATTATTTTTCGATGCAAGTTCCAGGGAAATCAGAAGAAAAGTCAGGAAAAATGTAATCGCTCAGGGGCATCAGAAAAATGCCAGGGATTTAAAAAGAAAAATGTCAACAGGCTTTAAAGTGAAATTTTTAAAAATTTTAATTTTTGGGAAACTTTAATTAAAAATTCTAAATAACTAAGCTTTTAGAAAAATTTTAGTTCTTTTTTTTAAATTGTAGAATTTTTTAATATTATTTAAATAAAACACTTTTAAGTTAAGTATCTAATTAAAATTTCGTAATATTTAATTGAAAACATTTGAACTGTGAACGAAATTTTAGAAACATTTCTTTTATTTAAATAATTAAAATTTCAAGGAATTTTCTCAATATTATTTAAAAATTATTGATTTAGAGAAGAATAAATTTTTACTTAAAAATACAGTTGTAATTTGTAAAAATAAATTAAATTTTATTATTCAAATAAATTTTACATTTTAAACGATTTGTTTACAATTTTTAAAAGTAATCGCATTTTTTAAGAAAGGATGTTAAACAATATCAGAAGTGTTTAAACAAAAATTTTTGAAAATTTCCATTCTTGTGAGAAAATCAATAATAATTAAATACCTATTTGTTTAAAAAATTATTAAAGGTTTTAATAATTTTATTTAAAATTCTGATAAGTTAAGTATCTGAGAAATTTTAATTCAAGTTTTTAATAATACTTCAGTTGAAAAAAAATTTATTAATAAATTATGAAATTAATTGAAAAACATTGAAATTAAAAATTGTATTAAAAATAATTTCATTTGTTAAAGAATTTCATTAGAAATTTAAACAAAAAAGTAGAATTTCTAGCAAATTTTAATTTAATAATTGCTAAATAATTTAATTTTATAATGATTTACATTAAATTACGATAAACATTTTTATTTAGTTAATATTAAAAAGATTTAAGTTAAAAATTAAAAGTTTCGAAAAATGTTATTTAAAATTTTTTTAAAATTAGGTTTTAACATTTGAGTTTCATATTTAATATTTCAGTTCTATTTTTTAAAGATTATTAAACTTTTTAAACAAGTAATAAGCAAAATTCTAAAATAAATTGAACTTTCCAAGAATTCGATTAAAAATAAATTAATTTTTAAACAATTTTAATTTTTTACAAAATGTTATCTTTTTTTAAACAAAAATCAGGAAAAACACAGTGCAACAGCATTTTTATTTTTGGAATCGCATAGGGTGATTTTTATAGGTTTTTTGATGCTGAATGCGAATCCGTAATCAGAATTGTTCCATCACCCTAGATTTTTGAGAAATTTGACCTTGAAAATTAAAAAAAGGCCGTTTTTGGGGTACTTTTTGGTTTTTTATCAGGATATAAAAATTTTTCCTAGGGTTTTCACTATGTGCGTACGAAAGCCCATATCTTCCTTAACAATTTCCAATTTGGACCTTTTAAAAATATCTATTTTTCGATGAGTTATCTTTGTTTGAAGTTCGCGTCGCATCATAAAATCAGCAAAAATGCCGTTTTTGAGGTATTTTTTTGTTTTTTATCAGGGTACCAAAATTTTTTCTAGTGTTTTCATGATATACGTACGAAAGCTCATATCCTTCTCAACAATCTCCAATTTTGACATTTTAAAAATATCTATTTTTCGATGAGCTATCCTTGTTTGAAGTTCGCATATCGTAACGTCAAATGGGATAACAGTGAGAAAAATATTAACATAATATTAATATTATTAATATTAACCCATTAAATCTCAAGCAGATACCAATGATTCATTAAAGAAATTATTATATTTTTAGGAAAATTAAAAATAAATTGACCATTTTTTTTGTTTATTATTTCAAATTCTTTAACAATAATTTAACAAAAACAAATAGATAACTCATCGAAAAATAGATATTTTTAAAATGTTTAAATTGGAGATTGTTGAGGAGGATGTGAGCTTTCGTACGCATATCATGAAAACCCTAGACAAAATTTTTGTACCCTGATAAAAAACCAAAAAGTATCCTAAAAACGTCCTTTTTTCAATTTTCAAGGTCAAATTTCTCTAAAACCTAGGGTGATGGAACAATTCTGATTACGGATTCGCATTCAGCATCAAAAAACCTATAAAAATCACCCTATGCGATCCCAGAAATAATAAAAAAGTGAAATTCTGTTGCACTGTGAAAGTTAAAATTGTTGTCTAGAAATAAGGAAAAAGTCAAAAAAAAAAAAACGAAGTCAAATTTTTGTGGCCGCTCTTAAATTCAATTCGAATTTTTTTTAAATTCATCAGATTTCGGAAGAATTGGAATTTTTATTCACAAAGGATATGTTTGTGTTTTATTTACAGAAAATCCTCGAGAGCAAACGAGACAAGCTGATAGATCAGTTGGAGGAAGCAAAGATTCTAAAAGGCAACATCGATAAGCGTAGTGTAAGCGTCTCGGCAATTCTGTCAAAGTACTTGAACAACGAGGAGTTTACCGACTACCAGCACTTTATCAACATGAAGGCAAAGCTGATAATGGACGGCAGAGAGATTCAGGACAAGGTGAAACTAGGAGAGGAGCAACTTGTTGCCTTGAAGGAAACGATCGACTAAACATTGATTGACGATTTCAAGTTCGAAATTCATCATTAAAGAAGAGAATAAACAGTGAGCTGGGAAAAGCCAAAGGCATACCAATGGGTCAAGCATTTAAAAAGGGCATAAAAGAGACTTGTTTTTTTTAATAGAAAAATTTTTCCAGTGGTTTTTTTTCCACCACAAAAGTGATCAAGAATAACAACGAAAAGTGCCTCATTCCAAAAAAAAGAGAGAAAAAAGATTTTCTACCAAGACTTCTAAAATGGAGATTTTTTTTACGAGTTTGATTAAATTGATGTGAGAGTAGTCAGATGGCTTTTTATACATTAGTGTCGTTTTATAAAGACGCAAATTTATAACGTTCTCCGCTCGCAAGGTCACGAGGGTTTACGATCTCAACTGCGATTGTCATACGTTAACCCAAAAACCTTGAATGCCTAGTCTTTTTTTTACGAGTTTCGTCATTCAACCACATCGCAAATTCTATTCAAAAAGAAAATTCCGATTTTTATAAAAAAAAACCGTTACTAATTTAGAGTATAATTTGTTACTCTAAAGTAAAGTTTGTTAAGAAATTAGATTGAAAAGAGTTAATGCGATGTTTAACGATTCAGTTGATTTTGACGAATAACTACATTTGTAAATTAGGCTTTTTTTTAATTGTAAAATTTATAGAATTGATGTGTAAATAATTATGAAAGTGATTTGAAAAAGTTGGCAGCTTGCGCGCCTACGTTTTGTTTTTTTATTTGGAAGAATTTATCAAGACTTACAATTAGTATAATTGTATTATTTATTGAATGTAATATCAGGCATGAGTGAAATTTTTTTCGCAAAGGAAGAAATCAAAATTTTAATATATATATTATGAAAAAATATATATGTACGTAATATAGAAAAAAAAATATATATATGAGAGTAATGTATCATTTCGAAAGCGTGTAAAATAGTAAAAAAAAATTTTTGTGTACTCTGTGCAATCGTGTGAAAAATAATTTCAAGTGTTACTTTATAATCTGTCTTTAACTGTCAGTCATTTTTCCATTTCTAGAAAATTCGATTCATTTTTTGTATAGTTAATTTTTCTGCCAACAAAAAAATATGTGAATTGCTAACAAACTTATATTTACACGTGAAAAAATAACGAAACTCTTACTTGTACTCTTACCTGAAGATCTCTCGCGAGATCTTCTTGATGCTTGTGATTTTTATTTACTGTACGATAAGAAAATGTAAAAAAAACCAAGGACGCTTTACTATACTCGATGTCAAGCCTCTATGGTTTTTTTAGTTAAAAAATTGTATGCCTCAGTTCTGAAAAATTTTCTCCTCAAATTTTCTGTTTCTAAAAAATTTCTACTTACTCACCTCTTCGTGCGCCAATGACAATTATAATCTTTAGCGTCGAAGATGGAATTCTTCAAGATCCTCCGAATTTTTGAGCTCAGTAATGAGACATTTACTGTAGTTTCAAAATTTTCGAGATGGAGCTACTAATATTAGAAAATCATAGAAAATTTAATTAATTTCTATGTTAAAAGAACATTAATAAATTTTTTTTTTAAATTCAAAGAAAACTGTAGATGAAATTGCTATTAAATTCATTTGACTTGTCAATTGGCTTGTGAATTTTTTTAATCGTATTTGTTAGTAGGAATAGTCGAGTCAAATAGATTAATAAGCAATAAAATAGATATAAAGACTGAACTCAAGGCATACAATTTTACAAAATAATAATAGTCAGTTTTGTTCCTCAATTTTTTTTTCAATGCAATGCGAAATTGCAAATTTAACAATAGCTGTATGGTGATTTTTCTTTTCGTTTATATGTACGAAAATTCGAAAAAAAGCAAAATGTAATTTTTAATGTGAATATATAAATTTTTTTTCTCTAATTAATCACACTACAGCTGGAATAATTGTAAATAATAATGAATTATACGAAATACTTATGGTGCTCCGGATTGAATTTTTTTTTACGAAACATTGAGAAAAAGAACTAGAATCGTTTCATTTAAATTACAATAGGTCTTTTAAATTTAAGTACTACATTTGATATTTAACGTTCTCGCTGTTTTTTTGTACATAAATATCACTTATAATTCTCATGTGAAATGCATAACATTACACAAATCCAAGTCACATTCAATTGTTTTGTGACAATTAGATTGTTTTAGTCTGACAATATTATCATATTAGGATTACTATCAATCATTAAGATAGCCACATTCTGAAAATCGCTTACAATAAATTACATAATGAAAAATTTAAGTTGTGTTTTAATTTCATCTTTTTTTCTGCATAAATATTTAATATTATTTATATTAATTATTTTGATATTATAAATTTATATTTAAACATGTGTAGTATTAAAATTTCTTATTATCTATATTTCTTTATTTTCTAAAACTTTTTTCTCTAATAAAGGTGAATTTCTAAAAAGACTTTTTTCTAATGAAGGTGATTTTCTAATTTTCTATCTTCTAATAAAGGTCATTTTCTAAAAATTTCTTTTTCTAATAAAGGTAATTTTCAAATTTTTTTTTTTTAACAATATTCAAATTTTCTAATGACCATCAATAGTTACATGATTCAAAAATAAAATTTATGAACATTTTTTAATTCTTTAAAAAAATTACTTGAGATTTCATTAAAAAATTGTAAAACAGAAAATATAAATTATGCCAATTTTTGAACAAAATTTTTAAATAATCTAGTTAAAAATCGTAATTAACAAATAGAAATAATGAATTTTTTCCTTAAAGATATTTAAAATTTTCTAGAAAAATGTTTTATAAATATATTATTAATTTTGTAAATTTTTGTATAAAAATGATGCAAATTATTATTTCTTTTTTTCAAAGAAGTACAGAATTTTGTTAAGAAATTGTGATAAGAAATAGGAATTTTATAAAATTTTTTCTTCTTTTTCAAAAAGAAACTCATCATAATTTTGTGAACAGAATTGCGTAATTGAGAAGCAGAAAATTTGCAAAATAGTTTCTATTTCATAATCTTAATGTTTCAACTATTTTCTAACTTTTATAAAAATTAGATATAGAATTTCACAAATTTTAGAAAAATAAATATATGAGAAATTATAGCTTTTTAGAAAAACTTTTTTAGAAAACAGATTTCATTAGAAATCGCTTTTTTTAGACAAAAAAGGATTAGAAAATTTTTTTTTTAGAAAAAGTGACCATCTACCTAAAATAATAATAAATAAAAATAATTAAATGAATTTAATAAATTAAAATTAAGTAAACATTAAAATAATAATAAATCACTTTTAGCGTTATTTTCATTTTTCATTAAAAAATTAATTAGCTATATAATAAGTGATAATTACAATATAATTTTGTAAATTTTGATTTAAATTAAATTAATTAAATAATAATAAAAGTTTTTAACTAGGGTCAGTTGGGGTAAATGCGGACAAGAGGTGCGTCGGAGCTTAATTTACAAATTAAAAATTAAGTTCGACATGAATATTTCCAGCTCAGATTACCGACAAGAGATTCTGAGTTTTGCTAAGTTTTTATCTTGATAATTGGCAACAGAATAATTAAAGTTGTCGCTTAATGCAAAAAAAAGTTGACATCAATTTTCAGACTGGTTCAGTATTTAATCTCGCATTTGAAAAGTGACAAACTTAAAAATCATACAAAATTTTTTTATTATTCCTTATGACTCCCAAAAGAGAAATTGACTTTGATTTTTGATTTTTGTCAATTTAGTTAATAATGACAAGCTGTCCGAATTTACCCCAAAAATTCGAAAACTGGGGGTAAATCCGGACAGAGCTTCTATTACATGTTAAAAAGTAGAAAGTGAAAGAGAGAGTGAAAGTGCGATAGAGAGTAAGAGGGAGAGAGTGAGTGACTTCAAATTCGTTATCAGCGACCCCAAAAACCCCCGAGTAACAATTTTCAAGCAAATCCGATCAAATTTTAAAAATGTCCGCCATTTTGGATCCGCTATTCTGAATTTTCAAGATCTGACTTTGGATTCGTATTCAGCGACCCCATACTGAAAAAATTACATTCTAATTTTCAGAAAATCTTCTTAAATATGCGCCAAGAATATTCCTCACTTAAATTAAGTGGGAAATATTCTTACAATAAGGGTACAGTCACACGATCAATGCATCTGCATGATGCATGCATGCACAAACATTTGACTGTTCACACCTCAATTTTTCGCTCTCGAAAAATCATTTTTCTGGCGGGATATTTAAAATTGATTAAAATTTAAAAATAACTTATTACTAATTTTTACAATAAAAAATAAAAAAAATTGAACGTTTATTATAAGGAATTAATTGTAAATAAATTTCTCTTAATTTGTGGCATATTTTAATATTGTGAATTTTTATAATTTAAAATATGCCACTAATTAAAAGGGTTTTCATGATATGCGTACGAAAGCTCACATCCTCCTCAACAATCTCCAATTTAAACATTTTAAAAATATCTATTTTTCGATGAGTTATCTATTTGTTTTTGTTAAATTATTGTTAAAGAATTTGAAATAATAAACAAAAAAAATGGTCAATTTATTTTTAATTTTCCTAAAAATATAATAATTTCTTTAATGAATCATTGGTATCTGCTTGAGATTTAATGGGTTAATATTAATAATATTAATATTATGTTAATATTTTTCTCACTGTTATCCCATTTGACGTTACGATATGCGAACTTCAAACAAGGATAGCTCATCGAAAAATAGATATTTTTAAAATGTCAAAATTGGAGATTGTTGAGAAGGATATGAGCTTTCGTACGTATATCATGAAAACACTAGAAAAAATTTTGGTACCCTGATAAAAAACAAAAAAATACCTCAAAAACGGCATTTTTGCTGATTTTATGATGCGACGCGAACTTCAAACAAAGATAACTCATCGAAAAATAGATATTTTTAAAAGGTCCAAATTGGAAATTGTTAAGGAAGATATGGGCTTTCGTACGCACATAGTGAAAACCCTAGGAAAAATTTTTATATCCTGATAAAAAACCAAAAAGTACCCCAAAAACGGCCTTTTTTTAATTTTCAAGGTCAAATTTCTCAAAAATCTAGGGTGATGGAACAATTCTGATTACGGATTCGCATTCAGCATCAAAAAACCTATAAAAATCACCCTATGCGATTCCAAAAATAAAAATGCTGTTGCACTGTGTATTTATAGTGGTAAATATTCTTACAATAATAATGTTCTTCTTATTGTAAGAATATTTCCCATTTAATTTAAGTGGGGAATATTCTTGGCGCATATTTAACAAGTTTTTCTTAAAAGTTAAAATTAGAATGTAATTTTTTCAGTATAGGGGAGACCGGGGCGTAATGGCTAACTTTTCACTCTTTGTTGTTTTACATTGAGAAAAATTGCGTTTAACCGAGTGGTAGAAATAGCTCGGTTAATAAAAAGTATTTAAAAATAAATAAGATATGGTTAAAAGAAACTAAGTTATACTGATTATCACAACCGAGCTGAGATGGTTAAAACACATCTGTTAAAAATAATCCTCCAAAGGATTGTCTTAACCAATCTGAAATGTGCATAATGGAAACAAACTTTCGTGGTTGTTGTTACCTATCTGTTTTTTGAATATAAACAATTACTATGCGATTAATATTAACCGAGTTTCATGTAATTACGTTCAGTTGTGAGATTTTAACCGAGTAAACATATCTAGGCGACATATCGTCAGTCACAGTCAGTCAGTCACTGGTCAGTCACTTCGTTTCGTCTTTTCCGGAGAGTCGTGTTGTTACAATTCTGGTTTCTACCGACGCGATACAAATTTTTATTGATTATGTTACAGCAGCCATCAAATATAGAATTCATCTACAATAGATACATAAAAATAAAAATGAAATGGAGAATATTAAACGCATTAAACCTTACATCCCCGATGACATATTACACGATGCACGTTAAAGAGGTTAAAAGTATTTTATTCTATTTGAAAGAGATTTTTGTTTGATTATAAAAAAGAATTTTAATTTACAGAAAATTTTGGTTATCTTTAAATTAGAACATAATTTTTTAATCAAATAGATTTCTTTTCAATAAAAGAAAATAATTTTTATCAAGGGAATATTTTATTGATCAAAAAATATTTTAATCGAGTTGGGTGGTTTAAAATTAATTAATCGGTTTCTTTATTATAACAGAGCTAATTGACTACAATATTCAAGTTTATATTATTACTGTAGCCTTTTTAGGTGGCTACAGTAACCGAGTAAGTTAACTAACGTTTACCGAGCATTAATCATAAACTGTTAGTTACAGTAACAGAGAAAGAAGCTACCGTAACCGAGTAGTCTTAACTAGTTTCTACCGAAATTTTTAATCGTATTCGATCGGTTACTGCAAACAAATTCACATTGCAAGTGCTATATTAGCAGCATCGCTCGGTTGTTTTTAACTAAAACTTGGTTATATTTAACCTTTTATTTTTCTCAGTGGCAAATATTTGGCTTCTTTTTAACAATACCGGAAGTGTGAACCAAAAATCTCGAATTCTCCCTTAAAAACAAACGTGTCAAGATCGAAACCTCATTTCAGTTTTTTTAAAGCTATTTTTGAAAAAAATAGAACGAAAAAACGAAAATTTTGAAAAGTTACTTTCGTATGTCAAAAATAGTTTTTCTACTATATTTCTTACAATAATGAATAAATATTAATGAAACTTCCGACAAACTTGCATTATACCAAGTACAATAACTTGTCAATTGTGCGAAATTATTACAATTTACGGTTTTTAAACAAATTACAATTATTCATTACGCCCCTTAGCCATTACGCCCCGGTCTCCCCTAATAAAAAAACTTACGTCATTTGTGAAAAATAGGTATTTTGTCCGGATTTACCCCAACTGACCCTATTTAAATAATTTTCTACTTTTTAGAGTATAAAATGTATATTTTTATTTATTTCTTGTTTTTCACAAACTTAGATTTTACAAAATACAAACAAAGCTTTCTATATATATTTTACTAATTTGAAAATAAAACATGCAGAATTCCCGGGGAAATTTGTTTTTAAATTTGAATAAACTGCGGTTTTGATTAACCGAGTGATTTACTGCGCGTGCGCAGAAACTTGGACCGCGTAATTTAAATTCAAAATAATACTCGCCTCAGAAATATTATTTCCTAATATGGAAAAAATATTTATTTCCTTAGAAAAATATATTCATAACAATTTTTTTTTTAATTTTGTGTTTCAAGTTTTGTTGAAAAGAAATATGTTAATATTAAATTTTCTTGAAAATTGTAAATTTTATTCAGTAGCGAAAGTAAAAGGCCCTTAAATTGGTTCCCTTGGTTCAAAGAGCAATAAATGATAAATATTTACCGTCTTTTTTTCAATGGGAACCATATTATTATTTATTTATTATTTATGCAATTTACTATTTTGTTAAATTTTCTAGTGAGAAATTAAATGAAACAGCCTAGCAACAAAGCGGAATATTTGAAATTATTGAACATAAACTGCTCAGGAAGTAAAGTTAAAATTAGAATTAATCTCAAGCTTTACGTACTTTGATTTTCTTTGCTGGAGAGGGGGGCTGTTTCTTTTTTCTATTTTTAATTTCTCCTTACGGAAAATAAGGAACCATTTAGAAAATAGGTCAAGTTACGTCCCTGGTATCGAAATGAAATCATTCCTTTTAACCTCATTTTTCAATAAAAATCTGTATTCTTTGTAAAGCGTGTAAAGCAAAGAAAAGGAGATTTCCGTCTAATTGCTGCAGTATGATGATAATTATAAAAAATGAGAAATCCAGTGGTGGGGTGATGAATAAGTATGGCGGAACGAGAGCCATCAGTGTACGAAGTTGTTCTTTACGCTCAACATTTCACCCAAACTTGTGGCGCTTTAGTTTGGAAGGTTATGGATTAAAGCTTCGGGGTGTGGCATCGTATTGTTGTCTATAAAATGAAAATACTTTAGTGCTAATTATGCCGCATTGCTCTGGCGTTTCCGCTATTATAAATTCTAACGATAAAGTGAAAACAGTGATTGTGAGTTGTCGTTTACGTGTTTCCAAACAAAACCTAATCTCATTGAGGGGATCGCATTTTTCATAATAAAATAATAAACAACCGCAAGAATCAACAACTGGGAAGTCATCTTCAGGGTCAATTACATATCGGTTCATTGTCTTTTAACCTCCAGCACCTCGAGTGAGTCATGTTGTGACAAGTGTTTTTAATGTTTGACAATGCGATTTCAGGCACGTCAATCTAATAATTGTTTGACGCATTAATAAAATAAGACATCGCTTTTTTTAAAAAAAAAAGCGGTGAATTCCTTTGCTATTAAGCACAATTGTCCATGAAATCAAAAGCTCCATACACTTCGTGGGATGTTGAGCGTTACCACCCCCACTCAGCTCCACGAATATACCGAGATGTCTCGGTTAGCCGACTACTTCATAGTCGTCGGCTACCATCACGAAAAAGAGAGTAAGTACAGAAGGTCCTTTTCTATTTTATTCACATATTTTATTTCACTTAATCACATGAAAATTACAATCTCCATCACCCTTCAATGCTTGGCCTCCTAACCTCATTTTCCACAAATATAACCTCAATCTCAACACACACGGAATGACATTTTCAATTAAAAAACTTCAAAAATAAGTAAAAATCGTAAAAATGCACCTGACCTTTCTGATATTTCCCATTATTGATTAATTAAAAGTTACACAATAGTTCCTGGCATTGAAAAAATCATTTTCTTCCTTTTAAGACTAAACACAATATGCTACTTATTCAATCCTTTCATTGTATTCTCTGGACATTAATCGACGGAATATTGACTCAAGAAAAAATATTTTTATTATTTCGCAGGAGGTGGAATTAGCAGTGGTTTAATATTACAAAGGTTCCCAGAAAAAGATTGGGCTGATACACCATTTATTGAAGGCATAGAATGGGTAATTAGTGTTCATTTTTTAATTTTTTTATATTAATCACCGTATTTCAATGTTTTTAACAGAAATCACGAAATTCAGTTATCAGGTGATAAAATAACTTTTTAATTAGTCTTTATTCTTATGAAGTTCAATAACAATAATAAACTTTTTTCTCTGCATTTAAATTGATTTTTTCTGGTTTTTTCCTTAGTTTTGCCAACCCCAAGGATGGGCCTTGTCGACCGAAAGGCAAGAACCTCGATTTTACGTGGCAATATTGACCGATATCGATGCAAATCGTCATTACTGCGCGTGCATGTGCTTCAACGAAACTGTCTCTATAACACCCAGCAAACCTGTCGACGAAGAAGAGGATCCCGTCGATGGCGTTAATCGTGCTCTCGTTAAAGCAATCCCTGCTGTTTCACATCACAGTATCATGTATGCTCCAAAATGTTTGGTCCTCGTCTCCAGACTTGATTACATCGAAACTTTTCGAGTAAGAAAAGAAAAATTTATTCATTTATTTTATTTATTAAATTTATTAATATATTAGTATATTTTCGTTATTAAGTTTATAAATTTTAATATACCTACTTTATAGATTTAAATTATTAATATTAATATATTTTATTTATTATTAAACAAAATTTTTTATTTTCAAATATATCAATTTCAATTTTTGAATAATTTCAGATTCAAAATTTTTAAAAATCCACTTACTAACTAAATCTAATCAACTAATTAATTATTATTTATTATTTTAAAAGTTTTCGCAAGGATTCAATTACAAGGATCACAGTTATTCCCCTTTTTATCCTCCTAAATTAATAAAATCTCATAAAACACCTAAAATCATAAATTTTCTCCCCTTTTCCTCTTATTTTTAAGGTAAACCTGTAAAAATTGTTATTTTTTGTAAGTTATAAAAATTTTTTATTTTTTCCAAAAAGGTAACAAATATAAAATAATTTTTACTGCTAAGAAGAATTCAAATTGTTTGGTATTTTTGACAAATTATATTAATTTCAGAATAAATTTTACTAAATTCAAAGTATATTTTACTAATTTTCAATAAAATTTACTACGGATTTTTAATGGCAATTTTTTTATAAAAATTATTCAAATTTTCTTGAACATTACAATAAGTTATTACATATTCTTATTTTTAGAGTAAATTTTATTATTTTGAAAATAAATTTTTACCATTTTTATTTAAAAAAATTGTCTTTGAAAATAGTAAAAGTTATTTCGGAAAATAATAACATGTTTAATATTAAATTTTACTATTTTTGAAGGAAATTTTTTAAAGTCCCAAGTTAATTTTACTAATTTTTTCCCGAAATTTACTTCGTATACCGTAAAATTCATAGTAGCGTTGTAATAAAAATTTTGATTAAAAATTTAAAGAAATTTTACAGACTATGGAAAAAGATAAAAGCTGAAGTTAAAAGAAGAAGTAAAAAATCTTAAAAATAAATGTTAATATGCTCTGAAATAAAATAATTTTTATTTAATTTAAAAAATCCCCTCTTTTTCTTAAACTAAATCTCCTTTTTGAAAAATAAACTCCCCTTTTTTACCTAATATTATATGAAAAAATCACTGTGATCCTTGCATTTATTTTTTAAATACAATTTTAATAATAATAAAATTTCTTGAAATAATTCATTTTTTTATAATTTTAATAAAGTTTTTCTTAAGAATTCAATTGTTTTCAGTAGAATTTTAATAAAATTACTCCAAAGAATTCAATTATTTTTAAAACTTTTTATAAAATTCTATCGAAGAATTAAAATATTTCAGAATCTAAATTATAAGTGTCATACGGAATAATGTTAATAATATAGATTATCCCGGGGATCACAGACTATTATATCTATTTTAAATTTTGTCAATTATTTTATTAATTTTCACCTATTCTGTATATTTTTTAAAAATTTTTAGTCAAAAGTTTACTTTTTACAAAATTTTAATTAATTTGTATTTTCATAAATTTTAATTTGAATTTGAAAAAGAAGTATGTACATTAATTTCGTTAATTTAAATGTTCAAAGCTTTAGCGACACATAACTTGCTTCGTTCGTCAAAAAAAACGTAATTTCAGTTTATCGAAAGATTTATTTATTCTTAATTTTTATTGATAAAGAATTGTCAGTCGTATCAATAAATTAAAAATTTTAATCTTCAATTAATCTTCCAAATTTTCCTGAACGAGAAATAAAATTAATTCAAATCTCAATAAATAAAAAATTACTTATTTTGCATATAACTTTATTTTTTTGTGTATTTGCGATCCCTGTTAATTAATATCGATATATTTTATTCATTAATATAATAATGATGATTCTATCACTGAGAAGTGAAGTTAACGATCACTCCGAGTCCTTGACTCGGATTTATTATTTAATTTATTTATTAATATTAATTAATGTTGTTTTCTTGTAAAATTCTTAACATTTTGTTCTTTATTTGCAGAATTGTTTGGGAATTATTTACACGGTTTATGTGGAAAACATTGGAATACCTCTGGAGACATTGGTGGGAAATATTTTGGGATGTATACAAGTTCCACCGGCTGGTGGGCCTCAAGTGCGATTTAGCATCGGTGCTGGCGATCGACAAGCGTTACAACCTCCAATTAGTCCCTCATTACCGATAACTCATTGCAGCGTCAATTTACTATTCATGCAATTAGGTAAATTATATTCCACATCTTTTATATCTAGATATATTCAACGACTAAATGAAAACTTATTATTCGTGAGAGCAACGAGAAAACACATTATTCACAATAAAGCAAATAGAAAATATGCTTATTTCAAATGATGACAGATTTCCGCAGAATACTTTTACAGTTTTAATTAACAATTTAAAATTTACTTTTAAAGTTTAAAAAAGATTTTTTTATTAATTTCTTCATAATATTCTGTAATTTTAATTTTTTAATTTTTGTTAATTCAATTCTTTTTAATTTAATTTTTAATTCAAAACTAGTTAGAAATTTTTGAAGCTGAAAATTTTCTATTGTAAAATTTATTACTGTTTATAAATGAATTGCGATAGATATTTGAATTGAAAAATGGTTAAATATTTCAGGTATCAGAAATGTCCTCGTGCTGTTTTGTGCAGTTATGACGGAACACAAAATTCTATTTCACTCATCAAGTTATTCGCGTTTAACGGAAGGATGTCGTGCTCTCACAGCTTTAATGTATCCATTCAAATATACCCATGTGAACATTCCCCTATTGCCGGCTGCTTTGATTGACTTTCTCGACACTCCGACACCATTTATAATGGGTGTTCATAGTTCATTGAAACATGAAGTGGCTGAACTCGTGAGTATATTTCTATTCTTGAAATTTTATATTATATGTAACATATTTTTTTGACACAACTCTTCTTGCACAATTTAGAAAATAATTTGAAGAAGCAATATCTTTATATGTGACGCTCCACGAGAAAAGGGACCTTATTTACTCTTGTCATAAGGTCCCTTTTCTCGTGGAGCGTCACAATATTTAAAAACGAGTTTTTATTGCGTTCTCGTGATTTTTCTTTCGTCCTTGAATTATTGCCGCTGAATCACGATTATTAACGATCCATTCTAGTCATTGTCTTTGATTTTATCAGTGTTTTAATGTTTTTTTATTTTTTTAGAAACTAAAGTATTATTAGAGAGAGAGAATTATAATTTAATTTTATCTGTTATCAGTGATAGCAGATAATCTTTTTATTCTCTGTTTTGAAAATTGACTGGAAATTATTTTTTTTGGGATATAAAATCGAGCGGAATTAAAAACTTTACGTTTTCCACGATTTTTAGAATTTATTATCATTTTGAATTTCAAATTCAAGTACATAATAATCTACGTTCCAATTTAATCTCTTATATGACAATTTTCACTCTTTTCTATCTAATATCGCCAATGAATATTTTTCTTCAATATGGTAATAATTTAAATTATTCAAAACCGCAGGAAATATTTCTAAAATAAATAATTATTTATGACACTTTCCAAAAATTGAATTTCGAAAATAATTTAATTCTTCAAATAATTGAATTATGTATGAAAGTGATTAAATTCATTGAATAATTGAATTTCGAAAATCATTAAATTTTCTGATATAATTTAATTTTTAGAAGAATTGAATTTAAATGATAACAATTTGTGAGAAGTGTACAATTTTTGTAGATTTTTAATCAGTTTTTACATAATTCAGAAACATTTCATTTTTCATTAGAAGAATCTTGGTTTTTCAAAAATTAACCAGATTGACGGCATTAAATATTAATAGAAATTGAATTAATTTCACTTAATAAAATTTAAACGTGAAGACGAGTATAAAATCATCAAAATAAATTAAATTTTCTTCATTTTTTATCTACAATATAGTTTTTTATTAAGCTAATATTAACATTTATATTCTATTTTATCTCTTGAAACGATTTTTTCTACAAAAAAACATTAATTCACAATTTTCAAATTTTCAAAAGCAAGATTTTGCATAAAAATAATTTTTTTATCGCATAATTGAGATATTTTTAACGTCGAATGATATTTCTGATACAATTTTTTAAATAAATAAATTGCATAAGTATTTTTTTAAATATATATATATATATATATATATATATATATATATATATATATATATAATAATAATTTGCTATTCTGTGAACAGAAAGTGTCGTCTTTTGTTTTTCTATAGTAATTAATGTTTTGATAGAAATTTTTTTACAAATAAAAGAAAAATGATCAAGACATGCCTCTATTCAACTGATGTTAAAAATGGTAAATACATGTAATTTTTTCAAGAATTCTCTATTATTTTGTTAATTCTTATAAATTTAATGAAATTCTCAAACTTGGTAGGGGAGAGTGGGGCAAAGGCGCTATGCGGGGCAAAGACGTTTTTTAAAATATCTCCTTTATTTTCTGTCTATTTCAATTGGTATTAAAAATTAAGTTGCAATGTAATCAGACCAATTGATTAAAAAAAGAAAAACCTAAAAATATCTAATATTTTAAGAAATATAACAAAAAAATTGTTTTGCAAAAATAAAATGATAATTTTACTGAACAAACTTTTATTTTTTAAAACATAAGTTTAAGTATTTAATTTTTAAAAACGTAACATGTAAATAAATTAAATATTTCTCTACACAACTGGCGTGGTGTTTTAGTTTAATTTTGTATCTAAATATTTTTAATTTAAAGTAAAAAAAAAAGTTTGTTATGTGGGGCAAAGGCAATATTGAACATAATTTGGTTAAAAACAATTGAATATTCGAATTTTTTTATGTATTTATCGTATTTATTCACAATATAAGGTTAAAATCACTAAAAGTTTTTATTTTCTATTTAAATAGTTTAATTCTTTTAATAATATGTTGTTAACCTTATGTTTCGTAAATATTATACTAATAAATATCACTTGTTAATTTTTTTAAGGCTTATAAATGCTTTCTTTTAGAAATATAAGCGAAAACGTCGCTGCCCCAGCGTGTGGGGCAAAGTCATTATTTTGTATTGTTTTTAAATTTCATTAAATAATGTATTTATAATTATAATATACTAAATAACAACTATTAAAATTTCTTGTTGATTAGTTTTAGAATAATGAAAAACAAAGACCGCATAAATTAATTGCTTAATTTAAAAAATATACATCGATAAATGTAAACCTAGCGCCTTTGCCCCACTCTTCCCTATTGATAAAAAGTTTAAATTCTAACATCGAACAATTTTTTTTACAATATTATTGAATTAGTGAACTGAATTTTATTTTCCACTTTTGTTTCACAAAAATAAGTTGATTAAAGACACTTAAATTTTAAAGTTTAAATATTTAGTATGTTTTTTAGATTAAAATAGTGTTTTTCAATTAAATCTTTAGAATTTTTATTTCTTTTGGTAAATTCAGTCTCCTATAAAATGATAATTCAATAAACTTCAAAAAAAATTCCGCATTTTTTACATTTTTTGATACTCTTGCCATTCCGGTTACGCAGAATCGGGTACTTTATTTATTTCAGAAAAAATAATACTTATAAATTCTATTAAACATTTCTTTCCTTCAATTATCAACATTTCAATGTATCCAATATATTTTTCGGATGAATACTAACAATTATTAGGGTAGGCGAACACTATTTTAAAAAAAAGTATTTTCTACACCTTTTTGTCTAAAAAGGCGATTTCTAATTAAATCTGTTTTCTGAAAAAAGTTTTCATAAAAAGTTATAATTTCTAATGTTTATTTTCCTAAAATTTCTAAAATTCCATAATTTTGATAAAAATTAGAAAATTGTTTAAAAATAAAGATTAAATTTTCTGTTTCTCAATTACAATTCTGTTTACAAAATTATAAGTTTTTTTTTGAAAATGAAGAAAAATTTATATAAAATTACTATTTCTTATCACAATTTGTTAACAAAATTCTATTCTTCTTTGAAAAAAAATAATTTGCATCATTTTTACATTTAAATTTCCAAAGTTAATATATTTATAAAAAATTTTTTTAGAAAATTTTAAATATCTTTAGGGAAAAAATCCCTATAATTTGTTAATTACGATTTTTAACTAGATTATTTAAAAATTTTGTTAAGTAATTTGTATAATTTCTATTTTTTATTATAATTTTTTAACGAAATATCAAGTATTTTTTTAAAGAATTAACAAATTTTCGTAAATTATATTTTTTAATCATATGTACTTATTGATCGTGATTACAAAAATAGAATATTGTTAGAAAAAAGAAAAATTTTGAAAATTACCTTTATTAGAAAAATAAATTTTTAGAAAATTAGCTTTATTAGAAGACAGAAAATTTCAAAATCATCTTTATTAGAAAAAAGTTTTTTAGAAATTCACCTTTATTAGAAAAAAAAATTTTAGAAAATACGATTTAGAAAAACTAACTAACTAACTAACTAACTACCCCAACCATTATTAGAAACATAAGAATGAAAATTAAAATATTTGCAGAAATTATAATTTAAATCTTTTGAGTTTGAATTTTATTACATTTATATGAGCTTAGAAAATGTTTGAGGGATTTCATGAGAAAATTACGTGTATAAAAATTACATTTGAAACTTGAGTTGAGTAGAGGCATGTTTTTTCACTTGGTAATTATATTTATTTTAATAAAAGAAGTCATTAAAAAATCGCAAAAGGATACAAGGCAAGAAAAGTAGTAATTTTGATTTTTCGAGGATTTTCTAAAAATCTCGGTATTTAAACTAAATTATAATTTCCACCCCTTGGAAGCAATTTTTTTCGTTTGCTAATTATTTATTTTAATGTTAGAAGTCATTAAAAAATTTTTCAAGAAGATCGAAGGCGGGGAAAGCAGTGATTTTGATTTATTTTATATTTTAGGATTTCTGAAAAATACGTTACAAAAAATAAAAATCACTGCTTTCCCCGCCTTCGATCTTCTTGCAATTTTTTTAAATGGCTTCTGAGGCGTGGAAATGATAATATAGTTGAAATACCGAGATTTTTAAAAAAATCATATCTATTGTAAACATGCAAGAATATAAATTGAAATTATTAAATTTTTTCTGTGGAAAGCAGGTAGGCAGATTGCTACCATGATAATTCTTTAAATCATTCACGCGCGCATCGCGCCCGTACACGGAGAGACCCACATTTGTAAAAATTACTAAAAATGGTTGCAATGACCGGAAATAAGGGGACTTTTAGCATAATATACTACAGAATTAGATAAATTTACAAAAGAAATAGATAAATTTGCTACATTGAAATAGCAAGTTTTAATATTTTGTGTAAGAGTTATAAATGTAGCGAAAATTGATTATAGTTTTCTCTAATTTAATTAGACAAAATCTGACAAATGAAAACATTTTCCACTAAAACCTACTATCCACTGTAGTAATTTTTGGTGAGCAAGTGTGGCTAGCGAGTGCAGTCATATGGCGCCTGCATTTCTATTGGTTGCTAACTTCGTCAATCTCCGTAAATGAGCCGATGCCATCCGATCATTGACAGTGACTATGTTTCGCGTATGTAAAATAAATTTGGATATTATCTACAATAATTAAATATAAAGTGAAACGTAGGTCGTTCGTTATCTCAGAAATTGACCATTATAAATTAATAAATTTTGCATTTATTCCTGTCCCAAGAACTATGTCTTATAATATATATATAATATATATATAATATAATATAATAATATATATATATATATATATATATATATATAATATAATATATATAATATATATATAATATATACTTTCAGTGAAATTCGTTGTCGTGCGTGCAGTTGTGTATTAGTGTATTAATTAACCGCGTCTATACAT